AAAAAAAGGCAAATTCTAAGAAAAAAATGCATATTTAGAAGAAAAAAAGGCAAATTCTGAGAAAAAAGTCAAATTTGAGATGCATTGTGGGACATGTAGTTTATGGGCAACGTGCTCCTGTAAAGCGGCACGTAACCGTATAATAAACATATTCTTTGCAAGCTCTTGTGGGGCCACATAAAATGAAGTCGCGGGCCGGATTTGGCCCCCGGGCCTTGAGTTTGACACCCCTGTTTTAAACTAACTTTTGTTTTGTATTATTTGTTGTCATCTCTCTTATTCTGTCACACACACACACACACACACACACACACACACACACACACACACACACACACACACACACACACACACACACACACACACACACACACACACACACACACGTATGCTTTGCCTCCATTCAGAGCTGAAGCAGGCAGTGCTGTCACGACAGAGGGAGTATAAGATTGCTGCCATACACGCCAAACAGGGCGGAGACATAGACCTGGCCAAACAGCACTACCACATTGCCAGGGTAACACAATCAATGTCAACGTTATAGCATGAGTACATCTATTTGGTTGTATGTGGAAAAAGTTGAACAAAGTTGATCTGTGTTTTTGCAGAAGATGGACGTGCTGGTGGAGGCTCTGGACCGAGGTGAACCAGTTGACCTGAGCTCTCTACCGCCACCCCCTGGTCAGTGCTGCCACTCTCATGGAGTCCTTTATGACTGCACTGTTCGATATCTTCTCTAGGTTTGGTTTATCTCTCTCAAACTGGTTTAGTGCCTATTTGCCTTTAATGTTCATCAGACCTCACTGCATGACCTCAAACTTTTACTTTACTCTCAACTGATGAGACAAATATTTTATTTGTTTAAGTCCATAAGTGATTGTATACAATACTTTTAACAACTAGTTTTTGTCCATTAATCCAGTTTGATTTCCCTTGCATCTTTCGGACTTCCATACATAATGGTACAGAAGCTGAGATTGCTCAATCTTATACATTGATACTGTATACATATTTTGACATTGACACATTTTTCATCCTTTTGGCTCTGTACACCACCACAATGGACTTGCAATTATACAATCAATATGTGCTTTAAGTGAAGACTTTCAGCATTTCAGCAGGGTATTTACATCCCAAATCAGATGAATGGTGTAGGAATTACAACCATAGATTACATCACATACGTGGTATCCCCTTTTTAAGGGTTAAAGGGATCAAAATTGTGTCCAAACCAGACTGTATATATAAATACAAATGTAAGATTCCATCTCAAAACAACTTGATGCAGTTTAAAGTTTTGTTCTCAATAACAACAACTGATTCCTACATGCTATTCATTTAGTTAATAAATAGCACTGACTAACTATTGATTCACCCTTTGGTAAAGACAGAACTAGGAAGACTGCTTTCCAGAACTTTGCACCGTTTTCAATTATTTTTAATATTGGACCTTTTTTTGTCTGTTATTGTTTTATTTTCCATATATAATAGTTTTGATAATAATAATAACCTATCTCCATCCCTTCACTCACCTGTAGAAGACGTAGTGGCAGCCCAAAGTGCTCCTCCTCCTCTTCAATCTTCCTCTAAACCCGCTGCCCCCGCTGCACCTGCTGCACCTGCACCCACCCAGGTGGCCACTGCCGGTAAGACTCCAATAGCCCTAATCCTTCAGATGATAAAAATGATCTCGGTTGAATTAAAATAATAAAGTGTGTGTGTGTGTGTGTCCTGCAAAGATCTCCCTGCTCCCAGCAGTCTGGGGGAAGCCCTGCAGCAGAGGATGGACATTTACAAGTCAGCAGCAGAGGGAGCCAAGAGCAAAGGAGACGATCGCAAGGCTCGCATGCACCAGCGCATCGTCAAGGTACACACACAAGTCCTTTCATATATTATTGTTATTTTATTCCTCTTAAAAATATTTAATATTTACAGCTTCATCTGAATCCAATACATCATTAGATATTGATATCTACTATTCAAAGATACAGTTAACTATGAGGCACGTTGAATTCCTGTAACTTGGACGCGTTTTTTTTCATTTCCCTGAATAGCTGGTGTGTGACTCACTTTATTTGACTGGAAATACACTCGTCGCTTTGCCCGTAATGACTGCTGTTGCTTATTTCAGCTACCAGAATAACCTGCCATATAGGCTGTCTTGTTCTCCGATGATTGACTGATAAATTGTGACTTTGAATTCAATTGGACTAGGCTGAGGCAAGGTTAATAGATGAAACAAGAACATGAAAGACAGAACTAAAATGTGTTGTTTAGCGAGTGTAATGCTTTTGTAGGAGCAGAAGCACATTTGTGAGTCATGCTTTTGCCAGTAATGTATATATATGAATATATATATATATAGTATATTTATATATATTTATTTCGGGTAGCAATGCAACATTTGCACTGTTTTCTTTCAAAGTTTTCAATTTATGACCAATACAACAATATTTAGTTTGGAAATAATCAACTCTACTTGGCAGCTTTATAAATATTCAAAAAAGCAAATGTATAAACAAAAATATTAGAGCTGTAACATCTATTTTGATATACGATTAATTGTTAAAGACAGAAAATGCTGTTTTCAGCCTCTCCACTACAGAGATATCCTCCCTTTCTCTGACAAATATCATAGTAAAGGAACACGTATGGGTCCAGACTAGGGATGGAAACGATTAATCGAATATTCGAGATTATTCAGTTATTCAAATATGAGTTATGAATATTTTTATTGTAATTTATTTTCTTTTTTTCCCTTTTTTTTTTGGAGGGGTGCCTAAGTTTATTACATATGATCAAATGGAATAATTCAATGACAGTGCCATAGCTAAGTGTGTTAGGTCTAANTTCTCCCGCTTATCCGTGGTCGGGTCGCGGAGGTAGCAGTTCCAGCAGAGCCCCCAGTCAGAGCTGGTTGATGTGGCCAGGGAAAATAAAGTTTGGGGCTCTCTGCTGGAACTGCTACCTCCGCGACCCGACCACGGATAAGCGGGAGAAGATGGATGGATGGAGGTTCTGAAACCTGTAATGTATTGATCAATAAAAGTCTGAATTTTCAAAAAATAAAATCTGAATTTTCTAATTTTCTAAATAAAGTCTGAATTTTCAAAAATTAAAAAATAAAATCTGAATTAAAAAAAAAAAAAGAGAATTTTCTAAATAAAGTCTGCATTTTGAGATTTTGATAAAAATTGAGAATTTTTAGAATTTAATAAAAAGTCTGAATTTTGAGATTTTGATAAAAAGTCAAAATGTTGATAAAAAGTCTGAATTTTGGGGAAAAAGTCAGAATGTTATGATTTTGAGAATTTTCTTTTGAGGTTTTTAGAAATTTTGGGGGGAAAATCCAAATTTTGAGATTTGGATAAAAAGAGTATTGATGAAGAAGACTGGACCTTTAGGTTTGCAGAAGGATTCCACAGAACAGTTTCTCATCCAGTCAACGTGGAGAGAGGCAGGAGCTCTAGATGTTAATCTGTTGATCCAGGATGTTTTCCTTCACGCTGTTGGAAACCACCCGGAGTGTGTGCTGCTCCACCTGCTGTTCAACAACAAGCAGGCTGCTGGTGAATGTAGGGCTTTACCAGCAGCCTGTTAAACAACACGCAGAAGGAAATGCATTTTGATCAATTTCCTTTTTTCCAAACTGCTCGTATGAAATAATTTGACTTTATTGCTAACTTAGCTTTGTTTGTAGCGTCATTAGGAACAAACAAGGAGAGGCTCAGGCTCAACGATGAGCACAGATATTATCAAAATCAGAAACAGAATAACTTTATTAATCCCACAGACGGGACATTTATATTGTTACAGCAAGAACAGAGCCAAAGATAGCATCAAATAAACAAAGAAGCATGGATAGAAATATTACTAATAAAACTAGAAATTACACAATTTACACAATTCCTATCCAGTAACAGTTTAGTGATATAGCACCAGGTGATGGTATTACAGGTGGAAGTATATATTGCACCGCTGTTTACGGTGTATATACGGTGTATTGCATATAAGTACACAACAAACAAAGACCAATAACAACATATAAACAAGAACCTTATGACATGTATTATAAGTGTATGCAGTCTTGTTGTTATTAGTTTTATTTTAACTGCAAAGTCAGCGTTACACACACACACACACACACACACACACACACACACACACACACACACACACACACACACACACACACACACACACACACACACGCACACGCACGTTGCGAGTGTTTATGTATTGTTATGTATGTGTTTGTATGTCAGGGCTCTGGAGGTGAGGCTGGCTCTTCAGGACCGAGTGGAGGTAAAGGGATCATGGTAAGGATTTACACTTCTGATATTTACCTGAAATGTTTAATGGACTTATTTTACTTTCATTCACATTTGAATGTAAAGCTTTATTCGTCAGAGCGGTTCGATTTTTAACCCGTTTTCCAAATACAAATAACGACTAGTGACTTCACATAATCATCTTTTTTGCTGCAGCTGATGTTTTCTATTTGGGTTTTAGATTTATCTTTTTCAGCATTTGTTTTGAACTCTATTTTCTGTGTTTTTCTTTCTGCTCAGGGGTCTTTTGGGGACGGAGGCAGCGAGGGTCCGACTGGACGGGACGGACTGAAGGTATGAAAACTAAAGAAGATTCAAATAAATGGCACAATAAATAGATTAAAAATGTCCTTAATTGAACTAAAATAATATACAAAATATAGCCCCGCCCCTTTTACCACTCTCACTGCCAGAAGGTGAGACCAAGATCGATTTTCAGGAACAATTCAGAATTTTGACATTTCAGAAAAAAAGTAAAAATGTTGTGATTTTGAGTAAAAAGTAAGAATTAAAAATGTCTCCAAATAAAATAAGAATTCAGCAATTCTCTGAAAAATTGTGCATTTTTAGAAAAAAGTACACATGTCATGATGTTGAGAAAAAAGTTTGAACGTTAAAGTGCAAATTTAGAACATTTAAAAATAAAGTGCGAATTTTAAAAATGTAACATTTGCAAAAAGTAAAAATGTTGTAGGATTTTAGAAAAAAAGGAAGCATTTTGAGAAAAACTGTGAAAAATGTGTTTGAAAAACATTTTCTTTGTGGTTTTTAGAAAATGTCAGAATTTTGAGATTTGAAAGAAAGTCGGAGCTCTGAGAATTTCAGAATCAAGTAAGAATTTATAAAGTATTGTAAACAATGAGTTTCATTTGAGATCATTTTCAGCTACACTGCAGTGATCAGATGGTTTTACAGCAGGGGTGTCAAACTCAAGGCCCGGGGTCCAAATCCGGCCCGCGACTTCATTTTATGTGGCCCCACAAGAGCTTGCAAAGAATATGTTTATTATACGGTTACGTGCCGCTTTACAGGAGCACGTTGCCCATAAACTACATGTCCCACAATGCATCTCAAATTTGACTTTTTTCTCAGAATTTGCCTTTTTTTCTTCTAAATATGCATTTTTTTCTTAGAATTTGCCTTTTTTTTAATATTGCAACCATAATGCGAATGTGACTCGCCATGAAATTGAGTTTGACACCCCTGGTTTAAAGGCTCAGGAGGATTACAGGGACATTTAGCGGGGAGCAACTTCAGCAGCAAGAAATTACAAATATGGGATTATGAAAGTAGTCGTTGTTATGGACAATGATTTTTGTGAAAGATAATTGATAGATATATAGTAAATAAATCCCAATTTATAGTAAGCAAAGCTAAAGAAATGTCAGTCAACAGTTAATGAGGAAATGTAAGCAAACCCATTGATCACAAATCATTTTAACCAATAATCATTCAATCATTTTATGCTGATAAACAGACTTCCGGTTTAAAAGTGATTCAATAAATGTAACGTTTTTTTAGTGGAACAATACAGGTTAGAAAAAAAGGCCTCACAGAAAAGGTCTTTTTTTTCCAACAGTAAATATAATGTTTATTTATGTTTATCCTTCTTTTCACCCTTTTGCCTGTTTTCATGATACACCTTTTATTTGTATTTATTTATTATTTTTGATGTTTTCGTTCTTAAAATCTTGACCGTGTACATAATTAGATCTCGTTGTGTAAAGCACTTTGTAATTGTGTTTTTAAAAGTGCTTTACCAATAAAGTTTATTATGATTATTATTACCGCCACATTTTTGCTCTTATAAATTCAGTTCACATTACCAGTGAGTTGTGAAGAGGAGAGGCGTCCACAGGTGACTGAATGTGGTCATATTTGTTTACCTGAGTGCTGTGCGTTGGGCTGGCAGGGGGTGAGGGGAGAGATGGCAGGTGTTCCCGGGGTGATGGCAGCATTAGGCTTTTGTGGCACAGTCAGATGCAGAGGTTTCGCATTAGGAGCTGCAGGAGGCGCCTCCCTCAGAGGCTTCTGATTGGTGGGAGGAGAGGGTATCAGGGCGGGCTCCGGCAGCTCTCGTTCTTTGATGGACTCAGACTCTGCTGGGATGTTGGTCTTTCCGCCGAGAGCAACTGGAGGCGGGATCTCCTCCTCATTGACAGGCTTTCCTTTCTTGAAAGATGTCAACATGGACTGCAATGTCTAGGGTTGAAAAATGAAAAAAAGGCATACACATGTTTTTTCAAATTAAAATGAATATATTTGCTTCAAAATTCTGTTTTAGATTGATATTATTCTTTCACCTTCAAACCTCGGTCATATCTTCGAACTTTGCTTGTCTCCCCTGCAGCCTTGCTTTTCGAAATGGCTGTCTTATACATATCAATGCGCTCCAATAGACGAGACTCCAACCCAGTTGCACCGCTGGGAGCAGCAGGAAGGGATGTGACGCCTGCTTTGGGAGCGGTCGGTGTGACGGCAGGAGGGGTCGGAGCAGGAGTGTGATCCTCATCATCCTCTAAAAACTCATTCAGTTCTGCCTATGTAAGGAAACACAGGAGTGCATACTGTTTATAAATCCAGATATTTAAAGCAAATCAACATCCAAGCTTCACCAGTATATTATAGGTAACGTGAAGTGAAAAGGATTAGGAATGCAAGTAACAGTTCATTTTTATAATCAGATAATTGTTTCAATATTTAGTCATCGTTTAGTCTGTGAACTACCATGCGCATTACATTTGATGTGTATTATCATACAGCACATGACAAAGAAAAGCAGCACATTTAGCAGATAGGAGAAACTGGGAGTAGCCAATGATTTTCATTTTTGATTGGCGGTCCTTGTTTATCTATTAAAAAGAAAATTATTTAAATGAATCCACAAATTGTCAAACGGGACAAAAACAATGTAGCTTTGTTACCAGCAGGTCTTCATCATCATCCAAATCTTCACCATCCACGTCATCATCATCATCCAGGTCTTTCATACACAGAGCTGCCATTCGCTCTATATCTGCCATGGGAACAGGAGCTGTACGTACATAAATACATCACAATCAGCACTTAATCATATACAAAGTACTAGTAAAGGTATCAGAGACAACTGTACTTCACAATGGAACATTTTAACAAATGTCATCAGTGTAAGATTCTTACTCACCTTTGCCATCACCTTTCTTCCCTTGCGTTCTCCCTCCACCTCCTCCCACCAGTTTCAGCAGTTCTGCCTCCAGATCTTCATCATTGCCGTCATCATCCATCCCTCCGCCCGGGGATAGGTCGAGGAGCAGCCCCATCTGAGAAACAGCAAGACAGACAGGCATAAAGAAAGGGACAGAGCTGCTGACTCGTACCTGTTGTTGACATGATAGCAGTAGATATAATGCAGACATCTGACTATCAGACATGACTGGCTTTACCTGTTTGGCTCGTGCTGCCCCTTGACCCCGAGGAGGGGGGTTTCGACTGCGACTCATTGGACTGTTACTACCTAAAAGTTAAAGAGGGTTACTTTAGTTCAGATAATGGAAACAAGGAGAAAGGTGATGAACATGTCAACAAATGACAGTATCCACTGCTAGTGCAGCCCTACATAGTGGGCACTGACTTTAAAAGCAGCCACTTAGTGCAATAATTCAAACTGTTCCCACTGTCCTGTATCAAGTTAGCTTCTCTGCTCGAGTTAGCTCACAGCCAGCACAACATACCATTTATTTTTAGTGAATGAATGTACAGGCACGCTGTTTACCTTGGCAGTTTCACGGACCGTGGTGTGAATGTTTACAGCCAGTCGCGTCGGTTATTTAAATCGAAAACTGCTCAGAAACGACAGGAGAAAAGACAAGAGAGCATATAAAAGCAGGCAGGTGTAATTTTACGTTAGGCTCGAGCTGTCAAAACAAGAACGGTGAGCTCTGGAATTTACTTCCTACATTGTGTCTCCCAGGGAAACGCACATCGAGCTTTACGGCTGGACAAAACACACCCATTACTGACGTAAAACCCCGCCGTGACGTTACACCCAAAGATGCTCTGAAATTCTGCGTACACCTCAAACTTTAGACTATTGTTGTGTGACTGTGGGAAAAGGTATATAACGCGACATTTTGTCACTGTAACCTAATAGTTATTAACTTAAATAATCCTACATTGATTTTTGAACCGCAGCAAATACACTTAATAACGTTACAAAAGTAATATCTCCAAATGTCTTTATTCACTCAGTTGTTGTTAGCTAGCTGCCTTTACTACATTAACTTTTGTTAGCTTACTATAAACTAATCCGTAACAATGGGAAATGATTTGTATTAGGTTAAAGATATTTCTTTTATATGTTGTGTCTTTATTTGTCCTCTTTATTTTTATTCTCAAGGAAAAGGAGATGACCAAAGGAAAAGCAAAGATCAACGGGAGTGGTAAAGCAGATAATATTATAATGTGCTACTGTTTACAGAAGCAATCTAAGTGGTTACCACTTTAACATTAAGTCTCAACCTTAAACCTTAAAAAAAACATTTTGATCACAACACATCTCGATTTTGTTTTGTTTTTTTAAAGTTTAAATACAAAATAAATAGTGACATGATTCTGTTAAAATATATATAATTTTTAAATATTTTAAATGTTTGAAATACCGTTATTTTGAGACTCAACAATAAGTTCTCCTTGATTTATAATTGCTTCCTTTTACCATGAAATGCCAAGTTTAAATATTAATCAGGTAAAGTGATTATTTTAATTGAGTTGGTCCTCATGTGTGCACTTAACTCAGCTCTACTGCAGCCTCGGTCCCTCAGGTCGAGGAAGAGGGAATGTCCGAGTGAGGAAATCTCAGAAACTGTCCAGGCTTCTCGCCATCAACAGGTAATTAAGGTGATTCAAACAGAACTTACATTTACATCTTATCAAGCCAATGTATTCACATGAAGTCTGTTTTGATTTTCAGGACACTGAAGGAAGTACCTCAGCAGTAGATGCCAAACTGCTACAGTCCCACCCGACCCCTGTGCAGGAATCTACTATGATTTCAACTCAACAGCATGAGGCAGAAGGACTCTCCTCTCTCACCAAACAAGACCCTGACACATATGAAAAACATTCAGAAGCAACACATGTGGAGGTTGAAGCTCAAGAAGATCAAGAAGAGAGAGCAGTCGCCAATCACAACAATGTTTCTCAGCCGGAGGAATTTAAAAGAAATGCCGGTAATGAAGGCAACAATATTCAAAAGAACCAGGGGGAAATGACTGCAGTGGAATGTAACAGATCACAAACATGCACCGATCAACTCCAGTTCTTCTTGGCAATCTCTGAAGAGGGTGATAAATTTGCTTTGGATGAGCAAATGGTTGCAAGGGAGAATTCTCAATGTGATTCAGAGAAAAAACAAGAAGCCATCCAAGCAAGAAGCCGTCCAAGCAATGTGAACATGGCTGATGTCAAGGAACTCCCTAAGGAGGCGGCAGCGGGGTTGCCAGCCAAAAAGAAGCGAAGGATGGGTATGTGTGGTCTGACAGAGAGGGAGCGAAGTCATTTTTTGCGCACACAAAAAAATGGGAATAAAAGACAGGAGAGAGTCGAGAAGATAATGATTTGTAATAAAACAGCTGACCTTGTGGCTCAGGAAGAGATGATATCTTCTTCCCCCTTATCATCCATCCCAGCAGGCAGTGTCACAGAACAGGAAGTGCCAGATATACAACTTGAGTCCAGTCACTGTGGAGGGCAAGACAGGTCAGAAACATTTAGTGAGGAATACAAACAACATGTTGAATATCTTACATTTTTGGTTTCTGTTTCACTTTCACATTTTCATGACAACGACCATTGGTGGAAGTCAATAAAGTAAGGATTTAATGCATAACGGGCAGAAAATTAAGCTTTTTTTGCAGAACATTTTAAGATTTCTTGCTTTTCTCAGTTTTACATCAAATTAAAATAAATACTTTGGTTTTTGGAAAGACAAAACAAAACATGAAAGACATCACCTTGGACTTACGAAACTGAGATGTATATTTGTCACTGTCATTTTATAGACCAAACGATAAATCAAAGACGTAATCAGCAGATTAACCAATAGTGAAATAAATAGCAAAGTGTACCCCTTCTTTCTCATACTACTCAATTTAGATTAACATCTGTAATCTATTGTGGACACATTTAGGGAATATACACTGCTTCAGTATAAAAAAAGTTTTTTAAAAGTTTCAATCACTGAATAAAACACAGACAAATATACTTGATCACACATCAGTAATACAATTGATTTGATTTAACACACAGGGAGGAAACAGAAGTCCTCATTACTGTCACTACCTCAGATGGGACCAGTGCTGCATGTGATCCAATGGGAGAGAGCTGTGAGGTTGAAGGTGTCATAGCGCCTGGTCCAGAGCAAACTGCTGACACAAAGTCAGACCCGCCGCCGACAGAGGAGGAAAAGGAAGAGCTTTTGGAGAATCCGGATCAGCAGGAACCTGAGGGCAGCGCTGCTGAGATTCCTGCTGAAAAACCTCAGGAACCCATAGAAGACGGGGAAGATGGGTCAGCAGCAGCAGAACACCAAAGTCTTGCCATCACTTTATACTCTAATCCAACTCAAAATGAGGAGATTGAGAACGGGAATGCGATGGAGGCTGCCGTTCTGCAGGTGAATAGTGACACCAGGACAAGTGAGAAGAAGGAGGAGCTGACTGGTGGTGCTGGGGACGGAGCGGAGGACGGAGCTGGGGACGGAGCTGGGGACGGGGCTGGGGATGGAGCTGAGGCAGGTGCTTCACCCACAGACCCCCAGTCAGGAGGATCGAACACTGTGAAGCTCTGCGAAGCTGCAGCGCTGCCTAGTGGCTCAGAGAGGAAAGACAGCGCGAGTGATGGAACAAAGGTACAACGTGTAACTTACATGTAGCTCGTAGATAAAATATTTGTCATTGTGAGTTAAGCGAATAGTGTTTGTCCTAACATTGCCACACATGATTGTGCAGCTTCTATGAATAATGCAATAGCAACACAATTAATTATAATGAGTTACTGCTGAAACTATTAAATAATTAATCAAACAACAGATAATTGGAATTTAAACACAATTCAGGTGTCATTTTATTCATTACATTATATTTGTTTTATTAGAGAAAAAAACAAATTCTAGCCGGTTCCTGCTTCTTAAAAGAGAAGATTGTTTTCTTCTCTTTTATATGTGTTTGGGGGAAATGGAAAATAGCTTTAAATATTCTAAGCAAAAGCAGGCTTTCCAATTTTCTGACACCCAATCTATTTTGACTAAAAACACACAAGTATAAATGAATTGATAAACACTGAAGGTTGTTTTTTGCTTTACAGAAATGATACATTTATTTTTGTTGCACACAGTGTGATGGTGATAAGGAACACAGTGCTGGATCGACTGAGCCCCTTCAGACCTGGGACACCACCGACCCGTTTGGATCTGGGTACCTGGATTACGTTACTGACTCGCAGCTGAACACTATCAGTCTGAGGTAAGGAAGAAGGGAAACGTTAAGTCCTACAAGTAACCTGACAGTGGTGTAAAGAAAGGGACGGTCGAGAGAAAAGAGCGAACAAGCTCAGGGTTTAGCTCAGTAGAGGTTTGGGAAACTCAGTGGGGTTTTGCTTCTATTGTGAAAAAAGAACGTACAAATTGACAGGTTGTTAGAGTTAAACCTTTGGAAAGGATGTAGGAGCTACTTTGACACCTGAAATAATATAAACAAAGACAGAAGATAATATAACATTTGGACAAAATCTGATTACTGTAATCATTTCCTGTCATGTCTACACGTTTGTTCTTTTGTAAAATGAAAACAAATGTTTAATATTTGAACATGCTTATAGATGGATATATAGAAAGCCTGTAATGAACTGACAGTTCAGATTCACTTTTAGTTGGATACATTGTACACTTTTCTCCATCCAGTGAGGTGGATGTGATGGAGGAAGATCTTGGTTCTCCAGACCATGAAGATGCTACAGAGCTGATCTGTGGGCTCATCAGAGAACTCTCCTCTCTAAAGTAAGGAAAGCCTTCATTTTCTGTTCAATCAAATACTGTATACCCGTATATATTCATCATTCTTTCTCCTTTAGGGGCCCTTTTGTATTGTACTCAGATATTGAGTAAAAGTAGAACTACCAGAGTGCAGCAATACTCTGTTCCAAGTAAAAGTATTGCAATCAAAATGTTACTCAAGTAAACATTAAAAGGTATTAGCATAACAAATGCTCAATATGCAAATTGATCCATTTCAGAATACTATACGATATGTTCTGATATAGTTATTGATGTGTTTTTAAAGCTGGTAAAGGTGCAGCTAGTTGTATTGACTTTGTATATTGCTGGGTAGATTGTGAATTTACTCCAGGTGGAACTAAAGTCTGATTTAACACTTGATTATATTTCGCATCATTAATCCAAATCTGTAAAGTAACTAAAGGTAGGCCTATGACATAAATGTAGTGGAGTAAAAGTAAACAATTTACCTCTGAATTGTAGTCAAGTACAAGTACAAAGTAGCATAAAAGGAAATACTCAACTAAAGTAAAAGTACCTCAAAATTGTACTTAAGTACAGTACTTGAGTTGAGTACATGTACTTGTTTCTTTACACCACTGGCTCTTACCTCCCTTTGCATTCATCTCCTGCTCAGCTCTCTTCCCAGTTGGACTTTTGACTCTTAATTAATTAGTTAATTGGTCGGTTTTTTTCCCCTCACAACCTTCTCTGTGCTCCTATTGGCTGGATGGTGTCATCAGGTTTCAGCCAGATAGCTTGGCACCATCACCTCAGGCTTTGAAGATGGCATGAGGGTACAAATCTAAGTCAAACTAATACACTATGGGTTTAGTGGTAGCCAAAATAAAATGTAAAGACACACATTTTAAACAAAATAAATATAAATAAATTCAGGGTGACTGACTTTTTGATGATCCAAGGCGCAAAAAGCAATAAGTCGTAGTTCATCTTTTACCCTCTTTTCCTGTTAGTCATCCGTACTTAACATCTTCAACCTGCCTGAATGTTGTCAATACTTGTTGTTAATTGCCAAATGTGTAAATAATACTTAAGTTATTGACGCCATTAATCAATAGTTGACCTCTGGTTGCTTTCTAGTCGTAAGGTCATGGCCACTCACAGAGATCTGGAGAACCTGCGGCGTAGCAGTAAAACTTCAAGAAGCTCCAAACGTTGAGGAGGAAGTCCCTTCCACTAAGATGTTCATTGTTGACCCATGGTTTGTGAGTAATGAAGGTGTTTGAGTGTACAAATGTTAAAATGTATCACTGTTTACTGTGTTTTTGTATAACTGACAGCTGGATTGTTACGTTTAAAGTCTTAGTTCTTCCCAAAATAAAGCGTTGTTAAGTTAGTCTTTAAGTATCATCTGCTATTGGACATACACTCATAGCTAAATGTTGACAAAGAATACACACAAGAGATTTTCATTTACATATTTATATTTTCTGGCATACATTAATATTCACACAATTTTTAACACTGAGCTGAAGAGCCACAGGTAAATCATTCAAAAATAAAAATAAAACACAGCTAGGGAACAGATACTTACTGTACACCTCAAAAGAACAAGTCACTAATTTCTTTAAAATGTTAAAATGTTGACATGGAAACATGATGTTGCTTCAATCCAAGAACAGGGGATATGAAGCTGAACATGTTTTAAAATATGTAAAATAAACATACATTTTACATTATGTATTTTTTCTCTTCTTACAAGCTTAATATATTGAGGACGTTCTTGAAATACTTCACAAAACCAACACACCAAACAGACGCTTTTAGAGAAGGCTCGACTGACAAATAGAATAGCTGGAAAAAAATTATAATCAGCATTATAGAAGGCTAAAACAAAGCCACACTGAAGAACATTAAAAGATAACATAAAATAACATTCAGCCTTCTAAATCTTATTGCTACCTGTTAGTTCAGCGTCTGCACTTCTTGTACACGGAGTCGTACGCTCTGTCCACCTTCGGGCAGAAGCGCTTGGTGTGGGCTTTGGCCCCAGTGGCTCCGCACAGGGTACACACGTACTGCTGCAGGTAGGGACACATAACATCTCCGACCTGGTTCTTCAGCCAGTGGGATGTGCACACCAACTCGGACTCGCCGTTGTGCCGGCAGAAACTGCAAGACATGCGCGCAGGCAACGCAGGTGACAATGGTGAAGTCTGGGTTTTCAAATAAGAGGATTTATTTCGGTCTTTTGGTCCCCGGGAGCCCATCGGTCTTTGAACTACCCTTGGATCGATAGCGTCTGGAAAACCAGCACGATAGCTGTCAGTGGAGTACCCCGACCCATCAGGTGGTGGACGAGACGCAGACCCAAACAGCGAGAATTCTGCCCAAATGGCGCCACGTTGGCTGCCTGCGTTAATGCGCTCCGGCATTATCGCCCCACACTGACCATCAGACTCCGGGTTCGGAACTTCGGGGGCCGGCAAGGAGGACCCAGCTGCCGTGTGCTGGATCATCTCTCTGACCGTGTCCGGCAGTTCTATGTTGTCATTCCAGTGCTGGAAACCATCTCTGTCAGACTTCAAGTGATTAAAAAGTCCCCAAAACAAGCCGTTCATTCTAGCTTCTTTCGGAAAAAAAAAATCGGGTCTTGTGTGGCACAGCGCTCACAGAGGGACGAGCGAGTTGTTGACTTTGAAATAACAAGGTAAAGGACAGCAGCTGACGCACGCCTCCTAACGCGCGAAACAAGATTTTGAACTAATTTGAAATTGGGTAAACGTGGTTCTCAGAGGTGCACACCACCACTCCTCCCAGGAGCCAATCAGTGTAGCTCTTCAGTGTGCCGGTGTTATGCCGTAGATTGAAGCCCTGTTCGCGGGGACGCGCAAAGGTGATATAACATACATATGTCAGACACTGTTATTGTCAAGCAATCCTAAAAGATAATGTGTTCAAACTGGCTTCACTCGCTTTAATTGCTCCTTTGAATGTAATTTTCCTCTGTGGTTTACTCTGGGCCCAGAAGGTGAAAAACTAAAGAGGGGCTTCCATGTCCGGCAGAGAAGGTGTTGTGGCTGGCTGCCGGATATGGAACCCCCCCTATAATTTTGTACCTGCTGGGCCCAGAGTAAAATGCTTTGGTGAGCACAAACTAGATGGGAACAGGCAACACCAGTGTGATTTTGGTGAGTGTATGACTATCCTGGACAAAGATATAGGGGGGGTTCCAAATCCGGCAGCTACAACACCTGTTTTTAAACATTGAAAACATATGTAACATTTGATAAAGAAAACGTTCAGAAGACCATTATGACAATTTAATGAGAAAAATCAAATATGAGCAGCATATCCGCATCTAAATGTTATACTCTTCAAACTGTGGGCAGGAAAGACAGAAAGCCGAGTGCAGGTGGTTGCATGATGATGTGGAAGCATTAAGTAAACAATCTAGATTTTTACCACAAGCATAAAAGAACAGCTTCCCACTAAAACCGAGCAGCTCGAGTTTAACCCTATTCATTTAGGGCTGTCTTTTCAAATGTTACTGAGTGAAGCTCTCACACAAAAACCTGCTCCTCCCTCGCCTTACTTTACTTTTTACTTTACTTTAATACTTTATTGGTTTTGATCTGTTTCCAGGGATTACACCATGACACAACATCACCAAAGCATTATACCGTAACCAGTTTCCTTTTGTGAGACAGCGTTCGGCAAGGTTTGGCAGGGTTTAAGGTTAGTGTGTTCACAAGGCGTTTCACCCTTCCCTTCATAATTACAAACCACATCATCATCATCATCATTCATATATTTATGAGTATGTCAACATAAAAACGTGAAAACACACAGGATGTTGGCACAGAGCCTAACAGGCGTCTGCGGTACAGTTGAGATAGGAAGCATTGTTGGGAAATAGGTGTGGTATCGGCAAGGGCACAGGAAGTTGGGGGACAGGGAGAAAAGACGATATTTTATTATGTGAAGCACTAAATGGTTTTAGACAAATATCGACTCTTTGTTTGTAGATATCTACTAAACTAAAGCATACAAATAAAGAGAGTAATGTAGGCCTGTTATACTGAGTGATATATGTTATACACACTGCTCTGCTTTCTGCACGGACCTCAGAGCTGTTCTCACTGTAAACATCGTGTCGCGATGCAGAGCTGTCATTGGCTGAGATAAGTCTGGCCTTGCGTCACGACTCTTTTAAACATCACTGTTGCCGGAAATACATCCGCGGAGGAACCATCAGTGTATCCTCGGTTATAGCTCCTCCAGAGAGCCTGCTCGATGCTCGGTCCTCGATGTGTATTTAGAGAAATTAGATGTCCTTCAACATGGCTCGCTGAAATCAATTTCCGGGTTACTACCCGAGGAGTCCAGGAGGGGAAATTAGAGAATTGAGAAGCCTTTATTGACTCATGAACATGAACCCTAAATGCTTGAATGCCAACTCATTACAAAGGTTAGGATTATTCCAGCACCACAGCCAAAGCACAGAAATTCTCCCTATTCACTGATTCAAGAATATTTTTATGAGATAATAGCCGTTATCTGCACTCGGTAACAATGAAGAACCTGCCTCGGTTCACACCATGGTTCTGTGGCCTAGTCGAGTATCCTTCCCGTCGAATCAGATAATGTTGCATATTTAAATACCACGCTTTGTGTGTGTGTGTGTGTGTGTGTGTGTGTGTGTGTGTGTGTGTGTGTGTGTGTGTGTGTGTGTGTGTGTGTGTGTGTGTGTGTGTGTGTGTGTGTGTGTGTATGACAGTATGTATGTATGTATGTATGTATGTATGTATGTATGTATNGTTCATCAGTATTATAATCAAAAAGAGAAATATGAACGTTAGTTTTTACTGAAATGATCAAATAAAGTCAACATTTCACTGAGCTGTGTGGGGTTTGTTCAACTTTTAAAAGATGTTTGAATGGTGATATACACAGTGATAGATGTTAAGGACTAACGTTTATAATAAATACATTTGTATTGATGTTAAGATCTTTTCGTACAATCATAAATATTGGGATCATTTGTATTAATGTGGACCGGAGGGAGAGGGTGACGAGCATAAATTTCACTTTCCTTTTTTATTTAAATTCCAACTTTGGTCATGAAGAATATGTTTCTCTGTTGTCCACGTTCATAAAGCATAAAACCACAGCATCAGAGCACGGTGCAGTCTCTAGATGAGTCCCTCGTTCTTATTAAACATCCATGTTGTAGTCCGTTGTATAGAACACTGTCGTTTCCATAGTTTCACCACAGCAGCAGACGCACACAATGACGTCCACTGGCGCATCATAAACATGTCGGATAGTGAAAGTGCATTCGGATTCTCTAAAGTACCGCAGTCTCTTCTCCTAAGTCCTTTTGAATTCTCCTATCCACTATCCCTTAACCCCGTGACGTTTCACTCAGAGGTCAAGGAGAGAGGGTTAGAATTTAGGAGCTGATTTTTGGATTATCGGAACGCAACCCGGTCGTTGACTGGTCATAGCATGCTATTCTGGCCGCCCCCCCAGCATGGGTTTTGTCTGTCTTTTTAGGTTTTGTTTGTAAAACTTAGTTACTTCGACAATACTATTTAAAAAAACAAGTCTTTAATCTTTAAATGTTAATCTTTTCAAATGTAATCAGTAATGGTGATTGACCTTGAGGTGCTGGTAAAATATTTCAAGTGGCTACCTGCCTACTTTTACTTATCCACACGGGAGACAAATACAAATGTTATATATTATACTGTAAACATTTTTTTTACATGCATGCCAAAAGTGTCTCTGAATAGTACGACAACGATGTGAGTCAAAATGCCCAACATAGTCAAAAATGCCATAATTAACCACTTTGAGAAAACGCCAGGGAAGATTAACCAAAAAGTTGATTTGTTTTAAAACTGCACCGTGGAAGAAAATAACACAGGATAACATTATAATCAGCCTTTATTTATTTATTTTTTAAAAGTTGGAAATAAGGTACAATAAGTTTTTTTTAATATATATATTACCACCTATCATCAAAAGTAGATTCAAGTGACCAGTCTGTAGGAGGAATCTGGAGTGTGTGCACCATCCTGTTTGCCCGGCCGTCCCATGTCTCCGACTGGTGGTCAACATCGCTGGTTCTGAGGGAGAGGACAGGAAAAGAAGAACAAAAAAAAGGGGGGAAATTACTGAAAATGTTTTTTTATGGTTTATTCTGCATTTTTATTTTTTCTCTCTTCATGCCATTGCTATCAATACAGGACTTGACTAACCTGCAGTTGTAGGACAGATTGAGGGCGGAGTAGAGCTCAGGAGTGCTGGGGGTGTGTACCGTGACTCCATAAAGAGCGGCTGTCCCCAACTTGGTCGGAGATGGAGTAATGGGAAGACAACCAGATATGCCAGTGGGCCCCAAGCTACAGAAATCTGGAGCCACTAAACATCAGGTTTTTTTTAATTTTATTATTTTACCACATTAGTGATTACACATCACTTAGTTTAATTTAATTGCATACTCACTGAGAACACTGCCCTCTGTCCTACTGTTGGTTGGAGCTCCTTTGCCAGAGCGAGGTGGCTCACACAGATAGTTCTGCTTCAGGAGAGAGGCCTTGTGTTGCTCAAAATCACAGCGCTGTACAAACAAACAGTGAAAAAAGCAGCTTTTAAAAAAGGCGAAACACTACGGTGGACGACAGGTGCAAAGGAGCTACAACGGCCCAAACACTTCCATCAGCAGAAACGCTGTGCAGTTAAAAAAAACGATGCAAATATGAAAACACAAACGTGCCAAAACACATGCAAATGAAGAACCACTTTACCAACTTCATAAAACTCGCAGCCTTTACTAAAAACGCTGAATAAATGCAGCAAAACACCAACAAAAATACCGCTGCAGGAAGCTCAAAGCGGCAATGGGGACAATAAAAAGTCATGCACACAGCTGGGACCGGAGTGCGTGTTGACGTATGGGGATTATATATACACAAGTTGGCCAACTGTCACCATTTGCAGAGGTAGTCTGTTTCATTATTGTAAGTGTTTTATCAGTATATTTGAAGATTTGGTTAGCTTCGTTAGCTAGCTTTCTGCAGCGCGTTTTTCCTAATTGAGTGTTTTGGGCCGTTGCAACGCTTTTGCACTGTCGGCTACCGGAAGACACTACTAGTAGTGACGTTACGTATTGCGCCGAGGCTTCGGAGCGTGTGTCGAGTTACCCCGAAGCTTTTTGTGAAGCATGTATCGAGGCTTGTATCGTTTTGGGCCAGTGACGTCATCGATGACAAACGAAGCCTCGCTACCTGTCGATACCACGTGACTGCTTCAGGAAGCGATTCAGATCGGTTGAACCGTTGAACCACAACGCTCATAATACCCATGGATGAATAATAAGAACCATATTACCCCTCCTGTACCCGGGCACGCTGGTGACACGATGAAATTAAAAGAGCTCAGAACCTCACTTATATAGAGGTCGGAACATGTCATAAATATAAATGATACAAGCATAAATAAATGTAGGAATAAAAACATGAATAAATACAGGAATAAATATCTTAGTGTTTTCAGGGAGATTCGGCGTGTGTGCTGTGGCTCAGCTGGAAAGCAGTTGACTCACGACCGTAGGGTTCCTGGTTCAACGACTCGTCAATACGTCTTTTTTGTTGTTTATAAAAGCTACAGCTGAATGAGATAATGTAGTTAATAAATGTATTCTTTGATATGGTTTAGCCTTTCTCAGGCCCCAGCACCCCTACTTCCCGCGGCTATGCTAAGGAAAACAAATCCCCCTTTGCAATGTTTACCAGCCTCCTT